ATATAGTATTTGACTGTATTGTACAGAAATAGGCCTGTTCTCGGTTGAGCAATGTTTTGGCCAATAAATCATAGTCCTTACACAGGGCAAGTCTTCCTTTAAAATGCGTAATAAATGCTGTGGATGCTTTAATGTCCAAAAAGAAGTGAAAGGACATCCATTTTCAGAATTAGTCATAAAGGCCTCATATAATATTATAATGCCTACCAGTTGATGCCTTTCAAGATTAATGCCCAATGCTATGTTGTAAAAAAGCAGAATAAAAATCAGTCCTCACATTCAGAGTTACAGTCTACGCATTTATCTCAGAAGGTCTGAGCTGACCCGCTTAGTCACTGGAGCTCTGTTTTAATGGCGTGTAGGTGTTTAAAAAGTGTGTACACAACAAAGCTGTCCCCTCCAGACAGCACTCCTGTTACATTCACAGTATGGTGATAGATAAACAGAGAACAAACAACGCCCCCACATTAAGCAATAATGGCGTAAGAGTAATGCAGGACAATAATTATGACAACTGGGAAAAATAAGTCATAAAAGTAACAATCTGTTTGATTAATGCACTTCAGCTTGTCATTCTTTTGCAATGAAATTAGAAAGAAATACAAAACAACTAATGTTTCACTTAGAAAAATATGTTTCTGGAAAGCAGAATGGGAACAGGGTGGGGTTTTTTGGTGGAGCATTCTGTTTTTTTTCCCCAAATTGTGCATTTTGCAGGCAGGCATTTTGTTGTGACAGAATGTGAAAGGATTACTATATACAGCATTTACCTTGCTTCTTGCATCCAAGTTTTCACTCAGTCTGCTACTGCCATGGAGAAATTGTTCAGCCACTAACGCATCCTGTCGGTGTGATTCCATAGTAATTCTAGATTTCACCTGAACTTAAACGAACTCAAACGTACAGTGGGGCTGAGCTGGAGTTGTGGCAGCATGCAATTAACCTGGTTAAAATTTGATGAGGAAATACTTATTCAGAGGAACTTATCTCATTGTGTATTTTACCCCTAGTATTATCCTTTCACTTTGACATTATTATGAGTCAGTGAAACTTGCAATTTTGAGGTTCTTGGAAAGATAGATTATATTTAAAATAGGTTTCTTGTAAGAACCTATTTACTCCAAAATTTTCTTCAAAACATAAAGTGGGGTTTTTTGAGATGAAGATGCTACTCTACATATCATGTGACAGTGGAATTAAACACAAAATAATGCATAATACTTGTAATGAAAGAGAGGATTGAAAATTATTTTAAAATTAAGTTTTAAAAAGTGAATTGGTGTGCTATTTCATACAAGTAGTTAGTTGCAATGGGTAGAACTCTTTAAACATATTAAGATTTGAGATATTAAGGAATCTGTCCATTAAATTCCATTTCCAAGTGAAGCAAGTTAAAGCATGAGGTTTAGGTACTAAGATTTCAAACTGGTCAACATTTTGATGCCATCCCAAAACTGCACCATCACCTTTTTCCTTCTCATTTAGCTTACTTAGCAATGGCTCGTATGTCCTCGCCTCATCTGAACTAAGTAAACTAGAGTGGGAAACATACTCTAAGAGCCCAGCTTTTGGCTTTCACTCACAGAAGCAAAAAGCATATCTCCAGCTGCTTCCACCTATTGATCCACTCCTATTGTGCCGAAATACTTCTTGAAGTTGGTGTAGCTGGGGATTAAACAAAATTATACAACCTCTTCAGAAATCGCTGTCAAATTCTTTGAACAGGAGGTGGAATCAGCACTTTAAAAGTTTTTGGCTGGTTATTGGAGTCATGCATTCCTGACTAACCCCTGAACTGCTGTTCACAGAGAAATTCAAGTTGGCAGCAATGGGGAAGATCATTAAAGGTGAGTGTGATCAACCACTGAAAATATTACTAGGGTGTTTTATGAACTCTCCGTCACTGACTACTTCAAAGTCAGGATGAGGTGGTTTTTTCACTTATTGCAAAAAGAGCAACAGAAAAAAGCAAAAAAAACCCCCAAACCAACCCAAAACTTGAATAATGTCTTTCTTAAAAGTTATTCCCAGTATTGACACCATTTCTCCTGGATATTCCAGCCTCAGCCTGTCCAGGGAATGATCCCAGGAGGGTGACTGATGTCCAGCCAGGCCTGTCAGTCCTCTGCTCTTATGTGCACCTCACAAAAGAAACATTTCTGTCTTGCACCCAATACTGCTACCTCAACTAAAGTAGTAAAATAAGATTATGGTTCTGCTTTATGGGTACAAGTGAAAATTAATTTTAGTGAAGCCAAAGTTGACAAAGTTTTAAGGATATGTTGTGGCTGACACACCTAAGAAAAGGTCCTTTTTTTCCCTGTTACGAGTCGATCTAATAGAAGTATTATGTCTCTGTCCAGATCATGTCCTGTCATCATGACTACAAGCACTTTTATAATTCTATTTTTGAGAAAAAGACAATAGAGTGGCTCTGAACACACCATTGAGTATTGTAACTGGAAGCTGAATCTTCTCTTTTGGCACAGGGTTGGGAAACTGATTTCTTTCTCCACAGTTTCTGAGAGAGATACAAGTGGAAAAAAGGGGGAAAAAAATGCTTTTCCCCTGAATTCCTCCCAATATACTGATCTGATTCTCTTCCCTATTAGTGATACCCTCTTTCTATCACAAAGACCTAACTTCCAGTGATTATGTACAGTATATTTCATATCTGGTACTGCCAGAACAGCTTAAAATGGCATACGGCAGAGTGCATGTCAAGAGAAATCTGACAGAATCCCTCCATCACTGAAGAGTCAGCTAGGACACCGAACATGGTCACAGTCAAAATTTTCAGTCACCAGCTGTAAGTGCAATAATCCAATAAATGTTTTGCAAACATTAATCCTAGTAGAAAAGGCTGAATGAACCCTCCTTGGGTTTTTCCTTTGCAGAAGAGTTGAGAAGTGACAATAAGAGAGAGTCTGCTTTCAAGAAGAAATAATGCATGATTAGTTAAGATCATGAAAAAAAGAGGGATTTGCACATATTTTAAAATGTCAGAAGTTACAAAGAAATGCTAAAGCACATTGTTTATGGGAGCCTTAATCATTGCACATATTAGAAAAAAAAAACTTATTCCTAACAACTGAAATTGAGTTTTATTTGCTGTTTATTCTTATATTGAACACCTGTTTCTTAAATGAGTTCTTTATCATTCTTGCTTCTGCAGAAAAGGTTAGTATACAAAAAAAAAAAAATCCCATTTTATAGCAACAGCTATAGTCTTTACAGTTAATCCTTACTATTGTCCATCCACAATATTTAGTATTGCTTACCTCACATACAGGCAAGAAAATACTTGGAAAGAAATGCGACTTTATGGTATTTCTTCCAAACCACGAGTGGGGAAAAAATGACTTCATGGTAACGAAAATCTCTCTCTAAATGTGCTCAACAAGAAGACTTCCTCCTTCTTGACCCAAAACAAATGATACAAGATTTGTCTTTTTTTTTTTTTTGAATCCTAAAATAGGGTATTACTAGGACCAATAGGCTATGACTCAGGCTTCCCTTTTAGGAAAACAATTGAAGCCCTTTATTGAATATCACTGCTATATGTGCATTTGAGCAAAATAAAATCTCCTTCAAGTCCATCTCTCCATTCCTAACTTGGTGATGATAGTTGGATCTAACTTAGTACTTACATGCTGCCACAAATCCTGTTTCTGACACATTTTTTTCCAGATGAATAACAACATACAGCTTAACTTCACCAAAATAAATCTCTACCTATAGTCCTAACAGAAAAAAACTTTTTTTTTCTACTACAATTAATCTTTGGTCAAACATTTGTACCTGTCTTACCCAGATAGGTATTAAAATCATATTATTTTCCTGGCTTTCTTATTCTAGGCTGCATTTAAGCTATACAATATAGTTTCCCTTTCCTTTTTCTCTCAGCTTCCCTTAATAATTTATATTTAGGCTTTTTCACCCAAAAGCTACATTATATTGATGTTTAATTCAATAAAATTGATCTTTCCTTATTACTGTGATGTAACAAAATGCAGCCTTTTGATATGAAGCACTTTAATGTCCCTTTTACCCATATCCTCTCAGGAGTTTGTCATGGGAACATTAGATTTTATTAAATAGAGTTGATTAACAACTAGATTTTAGGTAGAATAACTATATTTTGAAGAACTGGCCCAAATAGCTGAGTAGGTGGTGGTGCCATTCCAGTGCTGAGCTGATCACTATGATGCCATCAAGAAACCAAGTAGTTCATATAGCCTAACCAGGTGAATAAAGACAATATACAGCCCCCTCTTGTTGTTCCAGCCTCCTCCCTACAAAAAAAAAAAAAAAGTGGGCTTTTTTTTGTGGGTCTTAACAGCTTATCAGCTCTTTCAGCATGTGCTGCACCCCAGTTTCTGAGTATATTATGACAGAAGCAGTTTAAGCTCAGTCAGAAATCAGGGAGCTTGTCACTACACTTCCCCACTGTTTCCAAATCTCATGTACAACAAGGACTACAACAATTCTTTCTTCTATGCCTTCAGGCATCTTCAAAGAGAGCCACAATCACCTTCTTTCAACAGCAGTCTGAATCTTCTCCCCTTCCTTTACAAGTTGATACTACAGGGAAAGGTATTAGGGCCTTTTTCTTACTTTACATTCTACCATTCCTTCTTGACCTCCCATCAGACTTTAAAGTGGCTAAAGGAAGAACATGACACACACATAAAGTCTTCTGAGGGAATTTTAAGTTTTACTAATATGTCACATTAAAAACCCACAAACAAAAAAACAACACACCCACATCCCCAAAAAACCACCCACCAACCACACCACAAGCAGCACTGACCACCAGTTTGTTATTAGAGGTCAAAAATGAGACAGACCAAATACTGATTGAATCTTTATTAATAAAAAAATCTTAGTATAAAAAAATAGTTCATTCTGTACACTTAGAGAAAGGACAAAGTAACTACACAATAGCGGTAGAGATATGTAACAAGTCAATTTAAAGATTCCCAAAACTGTTTTCAGCATTGTGTTCTTTTCTGTTGTCACGTGCCATGCATTATGGTCTCCACCAAAGCCATCAGCTTCCTGAAGCAGTCACTCAATACACTTTGGAGTCCTATGCACAACCATGACAAACATTAACTCAAGATGAAAACTTGTTTGCTATTGTTAGCTCATCCAATGACAGAAAAAGGTCAGATAGATTTTAGTGACAGCACGTCAAAAAGTTGTCAAAAAGTTGCACAGAAATATCATACAGCCAAATACTTGATATTTTCTATGACCTCTGACACATTTCAGTCATACCCAGTAGAACAAACAATCTGATGTACCGCCTTGCAATGCTGAAGACCAAACGAAGCTACGTTACAGTATCTTTCAAGAGCACGAATCACGATGAAGGTAGACTTGGTTGATAACATTAACGTGATTGAGTTGAACACTTTGCCAGACCTAGCACATAACAACTAAGCTGACAGACAGCAGTGAATATTGATTAGTCACTTGAGAACAAGTAGCTCTTTAAGCTACAGCAAAGCAGGTGAGAGTAATCTAAAAGTCAAACAGAGGTAAAACAGACCTAGGAGTACCAACTCTGATTAAGGTTGCTATTCTGCTTGGAAGGTGTCCATGTCTGTCAGGATTACTGATTTCTTGTCTCTCTTCTATTCTGGTCTCAAGCACCAACATGCTTAGATATGAATGAAAGTTGTACCCGAGTATTTGAGGCTGGGATCTATACACCCTGCTCTAACAGAGAGACCAAACTAATTACAGTTCCTTGGTGTAATTGGGCTTTCTAAAAGCAAAGCTATTAACAAACATTCTTGTAAACTTAGTCTCTGTAACTGGTACAGAGAGATACTTGATAGAAAACATGTACCATAGCACAGTTGGACTCTGGACTATATATCTGAATCTTGTTTACATCAGCATGACTGCCTATAGAGCCGATATCTTAAAGGTAAAACTTAACAATATCACATATTGCAAAGTCATTCAATACACATGCTTCTCCTAAACCTACTATAGCTTACTTTTGCTGTCATTTTTTTCCTTAACTACCCAAGTCAGTCATCAGGATATTTAATCCAGGTAACTTCCATTAGATAGACATCTCAAATTATAGCAACTCCGTAATGAACAAGGTAGGCCATGGGCATGTTCATTAAGCAATATCATTTAAGCTACTGACAAATATTTTGAAAATACACTTTTCCGGTCTCCTAATGGTTTTGTCGTCTTCTTGCAGCTGAACCCAGACATTAGGAAGATCCCAAGCCTCTTGGAAAAACAAGTCTGTACATAGTAGCTCGGTCAGTAAAGTCAGCATGCTGTCCTGTTCAACTGTTGGTACTGCAGAAATATACATAAAAATGTTATGAGTAGAATTATCATTGTATTTTCCTCAGAGATATTTGTCCACCGAAGTATTTTTGAATGCATTCATATCAGCTTTTTAACATGAAGTAAAATGGGTAAGCTGCATAAATGGGTGTGCAAGTGCTGTAAGTAGAGGATTAAATAAATATCACTGTAAGTGTAGAACAGTAATAGCCACTAGCACCTGCTTAATGTGAAGTAGCATACAGGTTTGTTTATTAAAGTGAAAACATGGGAAGCTTCTATAGCTGTACATTTGCACTCTCTTTTAAGTCATCAAAATAGCTCTGCACCCCCCAGACTGTTTTAGCCGATTATAATCTGTTTACTAACACTTCCATCAAAAGTAAAACAGAATGAGTAGGTTACCCCCATCATTGAAAAAACAAGACTCACCTGCTTGCTGATAGTGTTTTTCTGCCAACAGTTGGTGGAGATGGTTCACTATGGAAAAAGCTTTTTATCCACCAACATTTATCAATTAATTCAGGTAACCCTGCAAGAGGAGAAAAAAGCCCACACTGTTAGACACTGGCTGAGTAACAAACAGGCAAAAGCAGAATATTGTTTGAGAGAAGGGAACAATACCATGAAATGCTTTCTCCTGGTCTGTGGCGTTCACAGCATCCAAACAGGAGGAGGAGCTGGAAGAAACACTGGATTCCGAGTTCTGCCTTGCTGTTCATGGAAAACAGAGACACACATAATGAAAAAATGCCTCGAGAGGGTACGCTATTTCTACACCAAGAACTTTTCTATGCCAAGAATTTTTCAGACCTGCTGCTGTCTTGGAGGAAGCAATCTAAAAGAGAAGTTTACTTCGCTACAAAGTATAACTGCTGTATTTTATACACCTTTCTACTACAGTTGTGTATATAAAAACTTTATAGAAGTTGATCTCTCAGCCTACTCACTCTTCACTTAAAAGCCTACTGACATCTGATTATACAACTTCTGCTGAAGCCACTGACAAATCTTACGATCATTTACACATTGCTATCAAGCCAGGTAAGTCTAACCTTGACTTTTCAAGTCCAAAACAACCTAATTGCTGTAATTCTCATTGTGATACAACTAAATACTGTACTCTCACTACAGTGTCCATCTGGCATAGAGGTATCCTAATACACCAGATAGTCACTGGTTTGAGAGTGCATTTCACATATTTAGAAACAAACATGTGAGTTGATTTTGCATTCTAAGTCTGCAAAGTAAATATGAAGTACAGCTGGAAGCCAGAACTTGCTGGGCTAACACTTTTTCTATGTCATGTTTTAGAATTTAAAAAAAAAAATAGTTACATAGACCTAATGAACAATTCTAGATAGGAAAAGAAAAAGTAGATCAATAGCCAGAAGCAAATGGTCATTAAAACTGAAGTTCCTTGATATAACAAAAAACTCTCCAAGCAATTAAAAACTACCAGGCAAAAACACTCTTTTGCTTCCAGCTCATCCAGACACCACCTAAAACACTTTCTAACTTTTCCTGAGTGGCAACAATCCGGACATCACTCCGGGAGAGGTTCTGGGGGCCCCTCAGCCTCCCTCCTCCTGAGGAGCTCCCCCCCGCCCGTGGGGGAAGGGTGAGGGGGGGAAGAGAAGAGCGGCCCGTCCCCCCGAGCACTTACTTCTGTAGTACTGGTTCTTAGCCAGGAGGCAGCCGGCGGAGGGTACGGAAGCCATGGCAGGCGCACGGCGGGGCAAA